TCAAGTATCGGCCACTTGGCCCCTCAATGAACCAGTCCTTGACATGATCAGGCAGACGAACAGAGAAAAGAAGTTCCTTGAGGATAAAGGCCCACCGAGGCAAAAGAACACTGGAGAGATAAGTGGTCAAAAACTTGCTCTCTTTAAAATCTTGACCAACTTGTCCAACTGCTTAGTGATGTCAACAATTTTTTAAAAAAATTTATGAGATGTTGGCGTAATGTGCACCCATTTGGAAGTAGAGTCATGTAGGGCATTCTTTTTCTTAAGATTTACACTTGTGCCAATGGCTTTATGCGCTATTTTCCTAAGGAGAAACTTCATTTTCTTAGGGTGGTTTCCTTTCCATATTATCTTTTCTAGCGTGAGATTTATTGCTTCTACTTTTTTTTCTATGTCCATCATCAAAGATTTTGTAGACAAGACCTCAGTAGCACTAGGTAGCCATGTCAATGAGTTTACTTTATTCGACAATACAATTGGGGGAAGACCGAGTCTTAATTTGGTCCATTCAGTGGCTTTATTATCCTTATGGTTCCTAACGAACTTCAAGTCCCATAAATTGTTGACATCATTCCATGTTTCTTTGATGATGACTATTTTGCTATGAGAGTCAAAACAAAAATGGATATCCCAAGTCTAGCATGGTGTTTTCAATCCAAGGGTCGGTCCAAAATGATGTGATTCCTCCATCACCCACCCTATGGCGAATTGGTTGGTGATGAGGTTTTGGTGTTTTTTTAGGTACTTCTATGCCCCCTCTGCAGAAGATAGGTGGGGTCAATTTGTCCATGATGCAGGAGTATATTTAGGCTTTATAAGTTTTCTCCGGAAGGCATTTTCTTCGTGATGATATCTCCATATCCATTTTGCGAGGAGAGCTTAGTTCTTTTCCTTTATCAAAAATAGACTAAGTTGGGAAGTTCATGATATTCCATTGAACAAGGTATGAGTCATCTTTCCACAAATAGTTTCTGAATAATCTTTCTATATTCGTAGCAACTTTTTGTGGCATCTCGAATAGAGACATGTAGTACATGGAGAGGTTGGACAGTGTGGCTTGTATTAAGGTGAGCCTTCCGCCTTTAGAAGTATAACATCATGACCATGTTGACGACCTTCTTTCTATTCTTTCAATAATAGTCTTCAAGGAAAATGACTTGTGGTTTGCTTTTAAGGGTAATCCTAGGTAGATATTTTTTTTACAACCATATTTAATGGCAAAGTCTTTGATAATCTCTGTGCTACCATTGATGCCCACAAATCTCTATTTTCTTGGAGATTGATATTTTGTCTTGAAAATCTTTCGAAGGTTTTTACCATCTCGATCATGTTTATATGGAAGAGACATCTGACAAATCAAAGAAGTGGATTGTATCATCCACAAATGAAGGTGGTTGATGCTTAAGCTTTCGTTACTAACCTGAAAGCCCTTTATCTCCCCTTCGTATTTGGCTTTTGTAAGTTGGCGGCTGAGGCAATCCATCACCATTATGAAAAGACAAGGAGATAATGGATCCCCTTGTTGAAGACCCCATGTGGCAAAGATCTTCCCACTCGGTCTTCATTGATGATAATGGAGAAGTTCGTAGATGAAATGCATCCTTTTATCCACCCTCACCACTTTGAACCAAAGCCTTTTGCCACAAGAATGTTTTCGAGGAAAGCCAATCAACCTTGTTAAAGGTTTTTTCCAAGTCAAGTTTTATGGCTACACCTTTTTGTTTCTTTCTTTTCCATTCATCTATAAGTTCATTTTCCATGAGGGATGCATCAAGGATCTTTCGTTCTCTACAAAAGTTGTTTGCTGATGAATGCAACCTCGATAGAGGCTACACCTCTTCTTTGATGAATGCAACCTCGATAGAGGCTGCTTGTTGTTGATCAATTGGGCTCCAATCAAGACCATGGAGAAATTCAATGAGCCTATCATCCTTTGTATATAAGGACGTGTAAAACGTCACAAATTCTGATACAATTTCATCTTCTCTTACTAAACTTCTACCTTGTGTCAATAAAATTTCCATGATGGTACTCTTTAATTTCTTTGAACCCATGATACGATGGAAAAATTTGGAGTTTATGTCATCCTCCTCTAGCCCTCGTTTTTTACATTTTTGTCTCTAAGATTGCTCTTCCCTTGCTACCAACAAGACAAGTTTTGCTTTCATGAGCTTTGTGTGTGTGTGTGTGTGTGTGTGTGTTAAACTAACGTGATAGAGCTAGTTTCCTTCAATGGAGCCTTTGAAGAGACAAAAATAGTAGATCGTCTTTGGGGAAAGGTTCTTCCAGCTTGGAAAGGAAAAGGATACCGCTTGATAATTACCACCTAATGGAAAGCCAAGATAAGAAAACCAAAAACCTTGCACTCTACAACCGACACTTAATAGTTTATCTTTTTTCCCACTTTTTTGGCATCAGATCTGTTGCAAACCTGACCTCCTCATGTCAGATCTATTACAAACCTGGCCTCCTCATGTCAAATCTGGCCTTAATTCCTGCCAATTCAGCCTCCTTGGGTGTAGATCATGCTGTCAAATAGTCCATCTCCTTGTCGTCGGCAATTGACCCACTGGCGAGCCCTCACTCCCTCTATGGTCTTTTTTCACTTTACTGGCCCAATATGCCTAAACCTAGTTTGGTTTTACATTTAAGATAGCCGAGGATGTCGATTCTCCCGGTTTGAGTCAAAATGGGAGAACCAAACTGACTAGCTCCCCTATAAGAAATAGGGGTTATACAGAATATTAATTAACCTGTTTGAAATTAAATGACAATGAAACTAGAATTGTAGTACTTATGGCATTCATAAACATTGCCATCTGGCAGTTCGTCTTCAAACTTCGATTCTTCTCCCCAGTTAAAGAATTGACAAAGAAGAAGTGGGATTAAGGAATTAATAAAGAAGAATTGAAGAAGTGAAAAAAAGAAAAGAAAAAGAACAATTAAAGAACGACATGGGGGCGAGTGCATATATTGTGATAGACATATGTGCATGGCAACTGGAAGGTGTAAAAGGAAAGCAACTTATTGAAGTTGCGCGCCTCACATACCACATAGGCAATCAACGTGCCCCTCACGTCACCTCTCGCCATACGAGAGTGCCAGGGTGCACCTTGAAATCATGGATATGAATGAAAGATATAGTTAAGAAGCAGTTGACTCACATTCCAGCAAAAGCTATAGGAGCATCTGCATGTAACATCATAGCTTCCACTTCCAACTATAAAATCTACAGCATAGTCGCATCCTGGAGCGGGACACCATTTGGTCTACAAAGAAACAGTAAGCTGACATTAACCATGCCTTACTGAATAATTATCATACATCAGAAAGATCTAAATGGAAACACGTTCATTGAGCAGGAACATCTATAACGTGCGATGTTTCTTTTAAATAATTTATGATGCTTTCGAAATGAAATATTTTTAAATCAGATAAATATAAAAAGAAGTCGTTATTTAGGCTATTCATACGTATTAGAACCAGAAGTGCATTGGAAGACAAAGTTCGAATTGTAAAATACCTTCCTATTGTCTTCAACATAGGATCGAACAAAATAACGGGAGTACTTCTTTTTGTCATCATCAGAAGCCAATAAATTTATCATATCTTGACCAACAGCAGCACCACAAGATGGATCTGGACACCGCAACATAAGACATCCTGGACCATCATTGATAGATGTCCTAATATAACCTACAATGCACACAAAGAGAGAGCGATATAAAAAGATATCTTTAGCACGATAGATAAGAGAATTTAAACTCTATAGCTTTGTAAAGAAGTCTTTTTTTTCTTTTCTACTTTTTTGTAACGGCCCAGATCCACCGCTAGCAGATATTGTCCTCTTTGGGCTTTCCCTTTCGGGCTTCCCCTTAAGGCTTTAAAACGCGTCTGCTAGGGGAAGGTTTCCATACCCTTATAAATGATGGTTTGTTCTCCTCCCCAACCAACGTGGGACATCACATTTTTCTTTTCTGATCAATAAGCCATGAAAGAAAAACTATTTTCCTGTGATTTACGTTGACTCGATGACTCTTGGCCACGATTGAAGGGTTTCTTTGGCTTTTGGGTTAGAAACATACATTTGAGATCTTTCCATCAAAGAAGTAACTCAATAGTATCTATTTCCTTGGTATATTTTATGCACATTTGAAGTTGAAGCGTTGAAGCATTGAAGCGTTTGCTATATAATTGAAATGCAAACTTCCGAGCGCTTTAGAGTCCCTTGTGTTTTTCTTTGACATTAAAGGTTTGGATATTTTTGGCATTCATGCTTGGGTTAAAAAGAGAATAATTCGAAAAACGTTTTTTTTTTCTCCAACGGGAAGTTTAATCCCCAAATGGAGATGATCAAAATCTAGTCTCACTTCCCCACCCCAATGCCATGCCTAGTAGGGTTTCTCCTCCCCTAGGGAGCATGACTTTTAAGGGGAGGCGTCCTAAGCAATCTAGTCATTCCTCCTCCAAAGATCTCTCCACCAAACTAAAAATCGAGTTATTCCTCTCAAGCCACACTCCCCATAAAATAGTAAAACCAGCATGCCACAAGATTCTTTCCTTATCTCAAAAAGAAGAATTTAAAGGATAATGAAGCAACGGAGTGGGCCGAATTAAAACTTGACCTTGCCCCTGTGGTATTGTCAAACAAAGCAGACTCACTGACTTGGCTTCCCAGCACCGACGGGGTTTTTTCTACAAAATCCTTGATGATGGACATGGTGGAAAAAGTAGAAGCAATAAATCTCACGCTAGCAAAGACAGTATGGAAAGGACATCAGCCTAAAAACGTGAAGCTCTTCCTTTGGGAAATAGCGCATAAAGCCATTAGCACAAGTGAAAATCTTCAAAAAAGAATGGCTTACATCACTCTTTCTCCAAATTGGTGACCATTATGCAAGAAAGAAAACGAATCACATAGCCACTTGTTTATGCAATGCTCATACGCTCAAATTTCTGGTCAACGATTCTCAATATATTTGGATGACATCTCACATTTCCTAAGAGGTAAAGGAATTTTTTGATATGGCCTTAACGTACCACCCTTTCAAGAATGCAAAAGCCCTACTATGGAAAAACCTCATCAAGGCTTTCTTTTGGAATCGGTAGAAAGAAAGAAATCAAAGAATATTTGCAGAAAAGACACAAATCTACACAAAACTTTTCGACAATGTTGCTTACCAAGCTATATATCGGTGTAAATTGTCTAATATTTTTACTTTCTATAGTTATACCTCTCCCTCATTGCAAATTGGGAAGGTCTTTTGTAAGCATCATGGATAATACATCCCTTTTGTAAATTTCAATCATCAATGAAATTGTCTCTTTTCTGATTCATTTAACCTCGCGTCTTACAGCTCTCTAATTTTTAAACCTCCTATAAACTTCTTTCTTTATTCAATAACCCCCTATATCATTGACGCCATTGAACTTGTCACGCAGTCTAGATGATCAACAAGTTCCTGTAAATCCATTCCATTCATGTCTACACATTTTTCTTGCATTATTCGAATTCCATAAAACATTCTTCCATCCTCCTCACACTAACTTCACTTCTTTTGGTAACAATTCATGTCGTGTTTATCTTCTTCTTTTGATTCAGTGAACGAATAGGTACTCGTTCCCAGTTTCCACGAGAAGTGTAGTAATATTTTGCAATTCTTTCACCTCGGAGGATCATTTACATGGAAAAATGTTATAGGCCAGATGTGTCTCTTATGGATTATCCTACAGCCTCCTTTTTTTCTTTTTAATCAAAGAAAAGAACAAAGTAGAACTAAGTAAATGATAGAGAGTTCACAAAAATGGCTTGTTATAAGTCGGCAAACCTGTCCAACACGTGTTGCAAAATGGATGGCCACAAGCAGCAGACTGAATGTTATCACGTGAATAGATTTCAAAACATATACCACAAGGTAGCTGCCAAAGAACAAGGAATATCATCGCATTCTCAATTTTTCCAAGCAATAGTTATGCAGAAGCAATTAAATTTTAAAAAGGAAAACGAGCTGCTTACTTCTAGTGCATTTGAAGGCGGCAAAACTGGTTTTTCTAATATGCCAACAGCTCTACGGACCTTTTCTTCATCTGCAAACCATTCATCATGCACTTTACTGACACTCCTGCAAAGTCGGATCGATTTAGAATCCCAAAAATTTAAAACAACAATTCAAGTATATGATACTTATAAAGTGGAGAAAACATAACGTGGGTACCGGTGCAAGACATGTTATGTAAAGTCCTAAAGAACAACATTGTGGTCTAATAACTAAATCTACAATGCTATGTAATAAGAAATGTTAAGACAGTACTTCGCATTAATCTCCCCATCATGTGAATCATCTGTATTGAAGTACTTGACATACAAGTAGTGAATTTATACCAGTTGTAATGTCGGAGCAGGATGCTAGCTGCTACTTTTGAAATAGAAAGAACAGTAGATACTCTCATAATGTCTTCCTCCTGTCGTTGTCGTATGTCCGCCTCAGCCAAGATTATATAGTTTTGCTGAAAAATTATACAGAGTTCATTGTGAAACATTAGTACAAGACTAAAAGAGTAGGGCTGTTTTCTTTTAAATTAGAAAACTAACAGTCATTATTATGTACACGGAAAATGTGGCCTAGGAGAAACCGAAAGCCAACGCAATGGAATTAATAGGCTTTTCAATGACAATAATAGAAGAAACTAAGAACCTCCCAATTAATTGGGGGCCTTTTTGTAATTTTCTAGTGATAAGATAGGTGGCTGATAGCATCATGAGATCTTCAGTTTATTTTTGTACTAGTAATCGCTCTCATATCCTTAGACGTCCCAACTCCACGGGATTAACCAAAGTGCAGTTAATGGTCAAAAACCATTTGAATCCAAATGGTGATGAAGAGGAGCACACTTTAGCCAAGCAAAGACTCGACCCTTCAAACAAAAAATTTGAAGGTGAATTGAAGGTAAGAAATAGAATAACCTCCATTTTCAATGCAATATAAATTCAAAACACGACATTTTTCGATAACTGCATGCTTTGCAGGTGCAGGGCGAGTAAGGCTTCTGTGGTTCGTATTACGTCCAAATTAACCCCCACCTTCAGACGTATAAATTTGAAGGTGAATTGAAGGTAAGAAATAGAATAACCTCCATTTTCAATGCAATATAAATTCAAAACACGACATTGTACAAACAAAGGAATTGAAAGTGTTCTTGGGTCAAGATGAATAGAAAGGTGAGAAAGAAGAAGTGGAACTGTAACGGCCCAAGCCCACCGCTAGCAGATATTATCCTCTTTGGACTTTCCCTTTCGGACTTCCCCTCAACGTTTTTTTTTAAAACACGTCTACTAGGGAGAGGTTTCCACACCCTTATAAAGAATGTTTCGTTCTCCTCCCCAACCGATGTGGGATCTCACAAGGACCTTAACTAACATTTCCTCTCATGGAGCTGACGAGGTTGCTGACTTATCACTTAAAATTGTGGATGGATCGATAGTTCCTAGTTCATGAAGCTTGAGGCAGAGTAGAACTATACTAATGTGTTGGTTCTCATGATTTGTAGGGCTACCCAATTTTATGGATTTTCTAGTCTCAAAACATCCAATGGGCAAGAGAATTTCAGTCAAATGAAAAGGAATATGTTGAGGAGTGGTCTTTCTCACACAAGGGTTAGTCTGGTAGAGAACTTCCACCTTGGGAACTAGGGGTAATATTAATATGATCTTCGAAATATCCCAGCTAAGAAAATTGGGTAGTATGGAGACCGGTCAAAGGACCTTGGACTTGAAGGAAAATTTCTGGAGATTCAATGGTCCCATAACGAAATTCTAGTCCGACCTGCACTGAAACATGCTAAAATCCATGTTTCGAACGTCGGCAATAACAGCCTGGAGTAACTCATTGAACCAAGACAATTGAGAAAGAAAGGGGATTTCATATATTGAGGCAGACCAACGTGAGGCCTTGGCACCCAAAGTGGCAGACTTGTTTGGAACAATTTAAATCTGTTTTTGAGACATTGAACAGTCTCGCCCACGAAAATTTCTGAGATAAAAAAATAAAAAATCGTTCCATAGAAAGATAATGTAAGGATTTCCAACTAGTCACGATAACTGTTATGTTTTAATTACAAAACTGTTGCAATTCAGGGACCATAGAGACATGATGAACAATCTCAAAGCTACTCTTATGTCTACTCATCCTCAATTTTTCCCCCCATTATGATCTGGCAAATGTTCTAGAGACGAGCACCAGAAGCATCGGTCCACAAAACCATCCAACGGTTATCAAATCTACGCCCTACAATCGCCTAAACCACCAGATTCCGGCCAGTCTTGTTACGGTCCAGGCCCACCACTAGCAAATATTGTCCTCTTTGGGCTTTCCTTTTCAGGCTTCCCCTCAAGGTTTTTAAAACGCATTTGCTAGGGATTTGTTTCCATGCCCTTACAAAGGGTGTTTCGTTCTCCTCCCCAACCGATGTGGGATCTCACAAGTCTAATCCAGAACAGCTGTAGTAATGGAAATTCATCCAAAAACTTAAACCGCGAAGAAATCGTTGCTTGGCAGAAACAAAAGATCCTCTTGGTTGCCTCTTGATATGTTATTTCTACTTGATAAACCACTGCCAGCAAGCTCAACTACTGCCCTAAAAAGACCAGCCACCATACCTCAAAATTCACGAAGAAAGAAACACTTGAAACCTCTTCAATCCTTCCCCAAAACTATCCTAAATTGTACATTTCAAGATACATAACTAAAATTAATAACCTCCAATAGTTTATTTTCACTTAAGCAACCAATTAAACCATCAAACTGAAACAAACCCATATCAACAAAATGATAAAGATTATCATAACCATTGTGATTTCCATTTTCCATTTAGATTTCAAAGAGACAGACGGCAGAAAAGTTGTCAGAAACACTGACTAATTATACATTTCTAAAAAGAGGCCAAAAATCCCAATCTCGGTCTCAATTAGGGGAAGAAAAACAAAGAAACTGTACAAAACACGAAATTGAGATTAATCGGCCAATACCAGCATTCACCACCAACACTAAAAACTAGAGACAATCAAAACCACAAAAAGTTCGAAACAAGAATAAGAACAAGAACAAGAACAGTATCGACCTGGTGTCTGTAGGAGACCATATCATCGGAATCGTCGGAATCATTATCGACGAACTCATAATCGCCGACATCAGCATCGTCGCTGTCGATGGCGGCAGCATCATCTTCGCCGCCACTGTAGAAGTCCTCCTCATTGTCAACAGAGTCGTCGTCGTCGTCGTGGGCATCGTGCATGTCCAGCTCGTCCTCCGATTCCATTAACGCTCAGACCAGTTTTGCAGCAAAATCGACGCAGGTGAAATTCAAATTGTGGGAGTGATGAAGAAGAATGGAGGTGAAAAAATGGGAATGATCGAAGGAAGGGTCGAAATGGGGGGAAAGTGGGAAGTGGGGAAAAGCGGTAGTGGTTGATGACTGATAAGGGAAGACACAACAAAAGATGGGTCCTTTGAGTAAACGGGTAAGAGAGAGAAATAAAAAATAAAAAAAAAAACTTTTTTTTTTTCTCAAACAGGCTCTTGTAACTGTTGTCGTTCCTCGATTGCTCGATTGCTCGATTTTTCTAGTAGTTCATAAGGGCCATAGTAATAAGAATGATCGTAAGAGAATGAGTTTAATCCATGATGATAACGAACACGTAGAAATAGATCCAAACTCATGAAATAGACGAAATCGATCCAAACGAGTAAGAGAGAGAGAAATTAAAAAAAAAATTCTCAAACATGTTCTTATAATTATTCTCGTTGCTCGATTGCCCTAGTAATCGATAACCGTCGTAGTAATAAGTACGATCGTAAGAGAATGAGTTTAATCCATGATGACAACAAACACGTAGAAATAGATCCAAACCGATGAAATAGACTGAATCGATCCAAACGGGTAAAAGAGAGAAATTTTTTTTAAAAAAAATCTCAAACATGTTATTATAATTAATTATTCTCGTTGCTCAATTACCCTAGTAGTCGATAACCGTCGTAGTAATAAGTATGGTCGTAAGAGAATGAGTTTAATCCATGATGATAATGAACACATAGAAATAGATTCAAAATGATGAAATAGACGGAACCGATCCAAACGGGTGAGAGAGAGAGATAAAAAAAACTTTTTTTTTCCTCAAACATGATCTTATAATTATTCTCATTGCTCGATTGCCCTTGTAGTCGATAACCATCGTAGTAATAAGAACGGTCGTAAGAGAATGAGTTTAATCTATGATGATAACGAACACGTAAAAGTAGATCCAAACTTATGAAATAGACCGAATCGATCCAAACGGGTAAGAGAGAGAGAAAAAAAAATTCTTTTTCTCAAACATGTTCTTATAATTATTCTCGTTGCTCGATTGCCTTAGTAGTCGATAACCGTCATAGTAATAAGAACGGTCGTAAGAGAATGAGTTTAATCCAT